ATTTCACAACCTGAAGCTGAAGTAGATAATGATTTACTGGTTAGTATAGTCATCTTTTTCTATAAGAATTTGCTCTTCAGCTGTCCAATGATTGTCCATTTGACAATGGGTTTATTTTAGCTTGGGACTGGGGTTTCTGAGATGGAAAGATATATCGTGTTTAAATGTGACAATAATTTTGAGAACCTGTGTGTTTGTCACTGTGCCAGTGACAGTGGATGGAGTTAAAACATATTTTGTTAATCCTGTTATCATACCAGAATTTTCCCCATCACACTTGCCACATCTCCATGAATATATAAATGTTGTATTGTTGTAACACAGGATGAAGATCGTGCTAGTTATGATGATATTTCTAGTGAAGATGATATGATAGCTGCTGAAGTTGATGAATTACAGGTAACATGCATTCTGGTCTGAAACATGCCGATCTTTGACATCAATAGCATTAACTCGTAAAGATTGTTAATCTGACAAGATTTTCTTCAAAACTAATGTCATACATCTATACCTAAAGCAGGTATGAAAATGTTACAGCTGAATTGTGGAGGTCAACCAAAGTGAAAGCTTGAGTTTTATCAAGATTTTAACTATCATTAAATGCCATTATCTTGTGAAAGTCTTATTCCATGTTCTATTATTTATAGGGTATTGAACTCTATGATATAAGTGAAGATCCATGGAATTTTATAACTTCCAGTTTTAATCCTTTACAAAGTGAACTTATTCCTCTTGAGGTAAGTATCTTTCTTTTTTCTTTCTTTAAATAAGTTTAATTTTGTTTTATAGAAGCAAATTATGTTATTTCAATGTTTAAAAATCTTACACTATTTAATTTCAGTGTAATGAAATTCCTAATGTTTTTTATGAAATTCTTGTTTCATTTCAGTGTTATGAAATGCTTACTTTTCATTCAGTATGAAAAAGAACATGATATCAGTGTTTATAAAATTACTTGTATTCAGTGTAATGATATTCCTTAATTTCAGTGTTATAAAATTACTTGATTTCAGTGTTATGAAATTCCTTAATTTCAGTGTTATAATATTACTTGATTTCAGTGTAATGAAATTCCTTGATTTCAGTGTTATAAAATTACTTATTCTCAGTGATATGTTATTCCTACTTATTTCAGTAATATGAATTTCCTCCTTCATTTAAGCACTATACAAATTCTTCTTTATTTTAGTGTTATGAAAGCCCAGCTTTATGTAAGTTTGAAGTGGAGAAGAAGGCTAGTGATATACTAGATATCAGTGACAGACCAACAGAAGCTGAAAGTATATTAGACCTAATAAAGCAATTTGCAGATGCGCCACATCACGACAAGTAAGATTTCTCTGATTTTTTATGAAGGATATCTTAAAATAAAAGGTTCTCATTGCCATTTGGATAGCAAGTAGTATTTTTATTTATTAGTTGAATTATTTGATTTTAAAAAGATAGATAGTGAGTTATATTTAAATCTGCTCGTTTTGATGATTTTATTAAATAACAATACTTTTTAAAGCTACTCTTTAATGATTTGATTAAAGAACATTGCTCAGTAATTAGACCTTATAATAGTAGAAAATTGATAGTGAGTTGTATTTAAAACTACTCTGTTTAATGATTTGATTAAAGAACACTACTCAGTAATCAAACAGTAATAAAACTCTAATATATAGTACAAAATTAATAGTGAGTTGTATTTAAAACTACTCAGTTTAAGATTAGATTTAAGAACACTGCTCAGTAATCAGACCTCATAATAGTAGAAAATTGATAGTGAGTAGTATTTAAAACTACTCAGTTTAATGATTTGATTAAAGAATACTACTCAGTAATCAAACAGTAATAAAACTCTGATAATTACAGTAGAAAATTGATAATGAGTTGTATTTAAAACTACTCAGTTTATGATTAGATTAAAGAACACTACTCAGTAATCAGACCTTATAATAATAGAAAATTGATAGTGAGTTGTATTTAATGAACACTACTCAGTAATCAAATTGAAAAATATAATAGTAGAAAATTGATAATGAGTTGTATTTAAAACTACTTAGTTTAATGATTTGATTAAAGAACACTACTCAGTAATCAGACCTAATAATAGTAGCAAATTGATAGTAAGTGGTATATTTAAAACTACTCAGTTTTGATTGAAGAACAATACTCCGTAATCAAATCTTATAATAGTATAAATTTGATAGTGAGTTATATTTAATGAACACTACTCAGTAATCAAATTGATTAATAATGAAAAAAAATTGATAGTGAGTTGCATTTAAGCATTAATGAAATGATGATAATGAAATGATGATAATGAAATGATGAACGTTATAACTCATTTCATTTTCAAATAATTTTTATTAAATTTTTGCTACAACTGCAATATTTAGAACAACTCCTGTGATCCAAAGAACACGTATTTAAAATTCTATAGCCTATTTGTTACAGAATAAACTGATTAATTCCTCATTTTATTTGTAGATGGGTAGAAAGTATGGAATCTCTACCAACACTGTTTGATAATGGTTTAACTTATCTTATTATAAAAGAAGATAATACAGGTAAGCTTAGTTTAAAATGTGCTAAGGGTCATTTATGATGGCAAGCTTTCCAGTAAAACACATGTTACATCATTTGGTTTTATTTGTTATTGCATTGTGAGAAACTCTGAGCAACATGTTTCAGGTTTTGTTCTCTGATTATTTATGAAAATAAAGAAAATACATTTGATTTGCAGCTGTAGTAGAAAAGATTATAGAATGGACTATGGAGGGAGTTGATTTAGATAAGGCAATGAAACAACCAGAATCAGCTTTTAAAGTTCGACATTTAAAGATGGGCATTAAACTAACTGGTGCTTTAACCTCATTTAGTCCTGATTTTGCTAAGAAACTAATAGTAAGTAATATTTTCTTAATATATTCCAATAACATTTACTTTGACTGGCTTTGATCCTGAAAATGTCAAGGGATAATTATGTAAAATTTTCCATTAATAAGGTTTTATTTCTTTAGATTAAATTTTGTTTATGTTTCGTTGTTATATTACGCCCTGATTTGAATGGAGGTTCTTGAACATTTGTTTTGTTATTTTTATAGCTAAAAGATATCCAACATAAGCTAATAAACCTATTTGTCAGTCCTTATATGGCATTTAGTGTAAAATTGCTGATAGTACAAGCATTAGATAAAACTGTCCGGTTTATTGATGGATTAAATTGGTTTCTCGGGACTCATACTAATCAAATACCAAATAAACAAACTTGTTATCAACGTGTACTGGAAATCATGATGGGAAAACAGGTAAATTAATTTTCTCGTAATTTTTTTTATAAAGAATCTGAAAGTCTTTTAAAAGGATAGTAAAGAGGTTTTCTAAATGCTTATATCACATAAGACCTTTGGATTAGTGACGTCATAAAACACTTAGTTTTAGTGGAATTGCAGGAACCTCAGAATGGTGCAAATTAATGCTATCAGTATCCCCGATACATATATAAAATTTAGAAAACCTCTCTATAATCCCTGTTGTACTGATCTCTATGAAACAGCTATACATTAAGCATCAATATTGCTTTACCAGCCATAAGGACTAGGTCTTCAACATTTGTATATGAAGTTAACTTTTGTTGCATCTTGAATGCCAAGATAAAACTTGACATCCTAGCACTGTGTGTAAGAAATATCATACCAAATATTTGGAATAATCAGCCCTTGATGAAAAGAGTAATATATTTGTTGGGCTTTACTTATAATCTTCATGTGTCAGCTCTATACCAGCTCTATTCCAGCTCTATACCAGCTCTATTACAGCTCTATACCAGCTCTTATACCAGCTCTATTCCAGCTCTATTCCAGCTCTATGATATATTGTTTTCATTGTAGTTGGTTAGAACAACAGTAGCACTATCCTGTTTTCTTAAGAAAATTCATGTTTTTGAAGTTCTAAAGAATTTTTCAAGAACCGTAACAAAGTGAGTACCAATATGTCTTTAAAATAATTTGATGACACAGTTTCCAGTGTATGGAAATTTACTAAGAAGAAAAAAAATAAATGGTGCCAGACAGCTAAAAATTAGATTCCATCTGCTAACAAAGATGTCTTTGTTAACAAAACATTTTTAATGATTATTCAATATACCAAATTTTATTCTATCTTTCAGTATCGTCAACAGTTCATCAACTAATGAAGATAGTGAATCGGTACCGAAGTCTGATGGAACAGATATAGAAATGGAACAA